AGCTGCTATGAGTTGAATAACTCTGCTTCTGATTCACCACGGTTTCCTTATCATGGTGCACAGAAACCTCTAAAACCTTGTGCTAAAATAAATCCCCTTCCCTAATGCAAATTCTAGGTATGCTTCAATACTAAAGAAAATAATTTGCTTCCTGGATCCTAAGAGTTGATAAGGGCTTGGGGAACAAAAGCTTTCAACTAAATGTTTATTTAATTTTACTGTAAAGATTCTTTTTAAAAAGGAGGGGAAAACAAATATAAGATCCTGAAGAGAGTGTAAAAAGAAAAAAAATACTTGATAAAAATCAAAGAGGAAAAATGAATTTTAAAAGGAAAGAAATGACTATCTCTGAAATAGTAGCACATGATAAAAATAAGATTGAAATAAAAATGCTGAAATGTGTGGGTGACAGACTTTGTCAAATAAAGTGGAGACAAGGAAGCAAGGAAGGAAGCAAGGAAGGAAGGAAGGAAGGAAGGTAGAAAGGAAGAGAAGAAGGTAGGGAAGAAGGTAGGGAGGGAGAGACGGAAGGAGGGAGAGAGGAAGACAGATAGGAAGAGTCAAGGAATAGATAAAAATTTGGGAAATTGGAACTGCTTGTATGTTTGCATAGTTGATTGTTAGAAAGAATAAAATCTTCAAGATGTGATTGTATGTACAATTAAGCAAAGATGTGTTGATTGATTGATTGTTTACAATGCTTATAGTTTTGTTATAGGTGGCAGTGGTCCAAGTGCAAAGGTAAGAACCAATCAACTCAAATGCAAAATAACTCTAAGCAAATATCAAAGGAAAAAATGTAAATGAAGGGCCAGAGGACTAGACTATGAGGATCTGAAATAGATGAGAAAGAAAAGAATGTCTGATGGGATATGGCTCAAGTAGCATAGTGCTAGTATAGCAAACATAAAGCCCTGAAAAATAATCTAATCTTAGTGGAAAAATACTAGCCACACAGAAAGAAAAAGAATGATCAAACTGTCAAATAGATTATTATTGCCAGAGACATATATCTGAAATTTAGACAAGAACTTCTTCCCCAAAATAGCTTATCCACTAGCCAGCAACATTACATGAAATACTATCATGTTAGACTTTCTTTGGAGAGGCCTGTTAAAATCAATTCAAGTGTGAATTATAAGACACTAACTGTCAAGTTGTGAAGAGAGGAAAGAATAATTAACATATGACAAGTATCTATATTCTTACTTTAAATTTATTTTAAGTAGTTGTACAAAGAGGTTTCAATTCACCAAGTCCTTTTATGAGTATAATACATCTTAATCAATGTCACCCTTTCCATAATTCTCTATCTCTCCCAAACCCCACTCACCCTCTCCATTTTTTAATTTCTTATTCTAAATCACCAGTAAAATAACTGGAGCATGTTTCTAGTATACATTGAAAGCCAAAATATAACTAACATACAAAATTTAGAAAGCATATAGTCAAAACAATACACCATCATAAAATACATAAACATTTCTTGATTATTAGAAATAAAAAGTATGCAGCCACATAAATGAAGACAATTTGCAGCATTTTAGGCAAGAAAGGACATTCATTGGACTTTCAAGTTTCAAAAGCCAGAGAATAGGTTTGAGTTCTCAGAATGACATCTGGTGATGTCTAACATTCCATGCATTCTTCTGCTTCTCCTTCTGAGCCTTAGGGAGTTTTTATGGTAAGAGAAAGAGGATAAGGAAATATTTTTCAAAAACACAATTTAGTGAGCTCAAATAACAGGATTCAGAATCTAGAGCTTACTTAATGGGCAGATTACTCAGGAAAACCTCTTCAACAGGGAATTATTCTTAGCTCTTCCTTCATAAAGTTCATTCTCAAACTATATACTCTTCTGGTAGCTCTGCCTTTACTTTGGGATATTTAAGATGTGTGTATATATATATATATATATATATATATATATGTATATATATACATATATATATACAGAGAGAGAGAGGATGATAGAATTCAGAATCAAGCAAGTGTAACATTCCTTTACACTGCTAAATATGCCCATTTTTTGTATCTCCTATGTTTATTTCTAGCCCTGCTTTAGTGACAAAAATATTGCTAGACTACAAGCTCCATGAGGACTGTGCTCATGGCTGGCTTGGTTTCTACACTCCCAGTACTTTACATTTTCCCCATCAGGACAGGAATAAACAGTGACTGCTATTCAGATACAGATAGATGTGTCTTGCTCAGAGAGTAAACTCTACATTCCTTCATGGTATCTAATCCTAATTCCATCATATCACTTAGGGTTTTGCTTTGTTTTTCTGGTCAGGTCATATCATTTCTCCTATGATTCTGTCTGTATCAGTGTCATCAGAATGACAGACCTACAATATGCTACTCAGAATTAGTCATTAATAATTAGTAATTAGTAACGATCACATATTCTCGTGGGCCTCTCTGGGAAGAAATAGGAAGTCATTTCTGATAACTGTCATGTTCAGCATGAATTTATTGAGAACCAGGGGGTTGTCAGTGTACTTGTTATGAGGTTTTCCCATGCAGTACCTATCTGGCTGTGAAGAATGTTAAGAAGGAAACACTATTCGCACCAGTTACCTTCAAACCCTTGTGTAATAATAAGTGCTCTAACTTAGAAAAGTTAAGAAGGCAGAACATTTATGAATCACAAGCTACTCTTTGTCACTACTTACTACTGGGATCCATTTCACCTGAAAATGTTCAGATACTGTGCACAACCATAATTCCAATATCTACTGAGGTCTTTCTCCTACCTTACGTTGTTGGAGGAAATCCATTGAAACTCCTAAACCTCATAGGTAGGCAATTTGTTCGATTTTTAAAAATACTAATTTTGCCAGGCACCAGAGGCTCATGCCTATAATCCTAGCTATTCAGTAGACTGGGATCTGAGGATCACAGTTGGAAGCTAACCCAGGTAGGAAAATCTGTGAGATTCTTTTTGCTGTTGTTTGGGGGAGGGGTGTTGTAGTTTTTGTTGTTTTTTTCTTTTTCTGGCCATAGGGCTTGAAGTTAGGGTCTGGGCACTGTCCCTGAACTCTTTTGCTCAAGGCTAGTGCTTTACCACTTTAAACCACAGCTCTACTTCCTGTTTTCTGGTGGTTAATTGGAGATGAGTCTCTTTCCTGCCCAGAATGGCTTTGAACAATCATCTTCAGATCTCAAACTGCTGAGAAGTTAGGATTACCGTGAGCAACCAACACCCAGCTCTGTGAGAGTCTTGAGGTAAAACCTCTCTGGGACAGCACCCAGACTCTGAGTTCAAGTCCCAGGACCAACACACACACACAAAAATTAATTTTCAAACAGGAAACCTGAGGCTCTCTGAGGTGTAGTGTACTTAGGAGAAACTGTTTATCTCTGAGTACCTGTACAATTGCTAAAAGACTAATAATGGAGAGTTTTACCCTGGAATATTCCAATCGTTTGGAACGTCCTGTGAGATCTATGTTGATTCAAACTACCTGCTCCTATGCACAGTTCAGTAATCCTAGCTACTCAGATCTGAGAATTACAGTTCAAAGCCAACCCAGGCAGAAAAATCTGTGAGACTCTTAACTCCAATTAACTAGTTTAAAAAAAAAAAAAAGGAAGTGGAAGTGAGGTCCAAATGGCAGAGAGCTTTTCCTCAAGGGGAAAAGCCAAGCCGGAGTGTATGGCCCTGAGTTCAGTCCTCAGGATTGTCACTGACTGGTGGAGATTGATGGGAAGGGTGGTATTGATCATGATGCATTGTACCCATTAATTGTCACATCCAATTGAAATCCCTTTGTAAGAAGATTAAAAAAATAAAGTTAAAAATTTAACGAAGAAGATTCTCATGTGTCCTCTTGTTCAAAATCGAACACCACGGGCACAAATCCCCAAAGCCCCATGCAAACCAACTATACCCATTTTACCTAGATCAGAAGATGCATTTTTGATCTCTGGGCAGAGACCTAAATCTCATAGTCATTCAAAACAACTTACATCTCAGAGGTTTTTTGATTTACCCTCTGAGTGCCAGACAATTTTAATCTGGGAAAGATCCTTCAGGAAGGAAAGCAAAAGGGGAAAAAAATCATATTTCTGTCTGCTTGAGGGGAGAGAGAATGAAAGGGTTTGATTTCCAGTGGCAAAGGTTAGAGAAAGAAGGGAACGGTGGACATTGAAAGTGGAAAGCAAATGAAAAGAAATCGGAGCTGTAAAAATATAAAAACACAGGAGCAGGCAGTTGAATGAAATCCCCAAAGTCTTTGGCACTAAAGAACGTGCGTGCTTCCTTGTAGCCTGTTGCCGGCTACATCCCTCTTGGGATCTGAGATCTTCCTTTCACCTCACAGGAGAACGATGTAATCCGTTTAGAAAAGTGTATGCCACCATCCGTGTCTCCGAGCAAAATCCTAGAGTTGAAGGAGAGGACACAGAATTGGCAAGATTGTAATTATAGCTGAGAACGTGCAGCCCCAGCCCTCCCTGCGCGCATCAGCCACTCCAGGCTCCAGCTGCAGTGGAGTGCCTGGCTGGGGAGCGGATGGAATTCAAAGGGCAGGCGGGTTGGAGAAAAGGGAGTGCAATCATAGCCCGAGAAGGGGGGGGGCTCGTCAGCTCTGCGCCCCCACAACGTCACGGAGACAGGGGGCTGACTCCAGGAGACTATAAAGCATGCATGCACGCAGCGCAGGATCTCCAGTTCTGCAGCTGGCGTCTGGGAGCTCTGCTGGAGCGTGGATCTGACGCTCCCACCCCCCCACACACACACCCCGAGGGGACAGCCCCCAATTCTTTGGAACCTTCTAGTCTTTGCTCTCTGCACGAGGTGCAAACTCCTCGGCTTCGGGTGCTCTTCATCTGCCCGCTCAAGAGCAGCATCGCCTAACAGGCAAGCGGCTACCTACCCCAAGTCACCAAGAGGCAGAGAACTTGCCAGCAACCGGCTCCTCGCATCCTGGCGAGGGGTGCGCCCCAGTGGGGAGCTTCAGGGCTACAGATCGGGGTGGAGGGTGGACGGCACCATGGCATCTTTCCCAGCGGCTGAGACCTGGACCCAGGGCGCCGGGGGCATGGGTGAAGATGCCCAGGGGAACCTGAGCGTCACCAGACTGGGGGTCGCGGCGGCCGCAGGGGCCGTGCGCGCCGAGTGGCTCAATCTGCTGGTCTACACCGGCAACGTCTCCTCCCCGGGGCTGGCGGCGACCCCCGCGCCCTCCCAGCCCCGGGCCAACCTCACCAACCAGTTCGTGCAGCCGTCCTGGAGGATCGCGCTCTGGTCCCTGGCGTACGGCGTGGTGGTGGCCGTGGCGGTCTTGGGCAATGTCATTGTCATCTGGATCATCCTGGCGCACAAGCGCATGAGGACGGTCACCAACTACTTCCTCGTGAACCTGGCTTTTTCCGACGCCTCCATGGCTGCCTTCAACACCTTGGTCAACTTCATCTACGCGCTTCACAGCGAGTGGTACTTCGGCGCCAACTACTGTCGCTTCCAGAACTTCTTTCCTATCACGGCCGTGTTCGCCAGCATCTATTCCATGACCGCCATAGCGGTGGACAGGTGAGTGCGGTGGAGAAGACCCGGGGAAGGGAGGGAGAGGAGACAGAGAAGAGCTCCCCTTTGGGTAAGGCCACCAAAGACATGAGAATTTACAGGGTCTTTAACAGCAAAGGAACTGGGAGCTGAACCTGTTTCTGTTTTCCTGATCTCTCCCACTCCAACCCTATTAAAGCATCTAGAGGGACTGAAAAGACCAATTGGGGGGTGATTTAAAGACCTCTCGTTATTGCCAAGGAAAACAAACTGAGCAAGACATATATAATACCATCCCACTTGCTCCGATCGTTTTGAACCATCAAGAAAAATTTATATTCTCCACAAAATTTTATTATCATCATTATTATTATTATTCGCCCTTCCTTTTCTCTGTTGTTGGTCACTGTTTTGGTAGAGAAACGGGCAGTGCTGATGCGACCTTATCTCCTCTCTCTTTGTCTCATCCGACCCCACCTTTAACCTTACTCTAAAGCCAACTTCTCCAAGTCTTAGAGGAGTCCTCAATCAGAGAGCACAGGATTTCCCCCCCCACCCACCCACCCAAACTGTGGGTCCGCAGTTAGAATCCACAGGGAGGCCATCACGTGTGAACATCTTGAGGGTGTAACCATCTTTCAGAGGACAAATAACATTAGAGGCAAGGAATAAGTGGTTTTGAAAAATGAGGCACACACTTGTACAGTTGTTTTTTTAAAAAAAAATATGTTCAGAATGTTCCTGAATTGTTGGGGGAGATTTTGAGAGACTCAGATAATCAAAAGAACCACAGTCTTCTGTAATTCTGTATGCATTTGCCCCTGGCGAATGGTAATTTGTTACAGAAAGCAGGTCACATTTTAGTTGAATGTTTTGGTAGAAATGAACCATTGCTCTAGGTGATTACAGTGTCGGCATTGTGACTGGCAGGTGTATAAGAAGTGATGGGAAATGTGTGGCCTCAATGCTCTGTTAAAAAAAAAGGTTCCTTTGTTTTACATTCACAATCAGATGAGGCTATTAACTTTCACTACATTCCATTACTGTTACGAGAAAAAACACAAGAATAAAATTTCCCATAAGTGCAAAATATTCATTATTTTGAAATACTGAGCACAAAGATATTAGTAACAGCAATCTACAGAAACTACTTTTCACAGACCAGTTCCACAGGTTAAGCTGAGCGATTGATGGTTTGTTGACCCAGATGAAGACAATTAAACACAAAATGGAACTTTATTATTTATTTATTTAGTGCCAGTCCTGGGGGGCTTAAATTCAAGATCTAGGCATGCACTACCAGCACCAGGTTAAAATCATACTTCTTAAAACCTCTAAAATAGTAATTTCCCTTGACCTGTTGTCTCTGATTTTTCACACATATTTAGTCTGGCATTTCTGCCAGGGAGAAAAAGTGAATGCAAAGAATGCACAAAACCAGCCAGAACTCGGGGAAAAAGTAGAACTGTCTCTCATCTTCTCCCACCAAAATAGTTGCTATTTTATCTTTGGTTTGCACATCTTTTTTTGTTTTTACTTTAGTTTTGGCTTCTTTTCCTTTGCAAAAAAAAACTTTGTTAGCATGTGCATTTTTTTATGTAGCAGTGAGGGGGAGAGGTGTTAGCTTATAAAGTTATAAAATGCTCACGATCTTTTTTTTTTGAGGTGATAATGAGGCAATATAAAAGTCGATAAAAATTTAGTACCTCTGAAATTGGTATCACAATTCTGAGAGAGAAGAGAGTTTAGTTTTCCAACTTTTGAAATAGTTTCGGGGAATTTTCTAAACTTATAATTCAATGTTACTTCATTATACTTCCTGTTTTGAAATGAATGAATACTGTTTATTCTTTTTTACTTCTTCATAGAAGTAAAAGTTTTATGTCACTAAAACTACACAAATTGTATAGCACAGGATTTGCTAGGGAAGCTGAAATATGCTCATTTCAGGTACTGAAAAAAATGTCTCCTTTTAAAAGTATTGCTAAGTGTAGCAGTGGTACTCTCTAGACACTGTGTTGAAAATGAACTATACAATTTGTGGGTGGAGACAGGAGGGGAAAAACTTTGAGGGTGTGGGTGAAGGGATGACATTGTTCACGAGGAAATGTACTCTTTATCTTATTTATATAATCATAACCGCTCTGTACATCACCTTTATAATAACAATTAAAATGCCTGAGAAAAAAAAGAGAATGCACTTATCGGACCAGAAAAGAGAAATAAAAAACACAGAATTGGAAAAAAAAACTTCCCCAAAAGAAATACAAAGGGGGAAGCACAGAAATGGAGGGACAAAGTGTGAACAAATGCAGCAGTGATACTCACTCTACACTATGTTGAAAATGACCCACACAACCTGTGGGGGAGGCAGGGGGGGTGAGAAACTAGGGGAAATGAGGGAAGACATATAATACTGTTCAAAAAGAAATGTGCTCATTGGCTGACTTGTCTGTAACCCCTCTGTTCATCACCTTTATAATATCAATAAATAAAATAAACTAACTACAGAAGTGGAGGAAAATCCCTTCAAAGATGCTTAGAATTGAAGACGATATAAACGTAAGTCATTAAAACTGTCTACAATGGAATCTTTCTGCACTGGTACCTTATCAAATAAGAACTGAGAAAATTGACTGAGGTATTTGCAGTCATTTTCTAGGTTAAACTTTGCAAGGTTAACTCTGCCAATACTGACATGTAAGTCATGATACCTTTGGCTACAGTTATATGAACTTACTATCATTTTTTAAGCTAGAAACATTTTTATTAGTATTAGACTCACCAACATTATATTTTCATCAACAATTGATGCTTTACTAAAATAACTGTAAGAAAGAAAAATGCCTAGTTTGACCTCACTAATAAAGGAATCTGTCATTTTGAATGTAAGGTGAATACTTCATATATTTACTTGTAAATATTCTCCACCCCCATTTGATTCAAACAGAATTGTATGATCTCAACCTAAATGGAAAAAAAAATCAATTCTTTTTTTTTTGCCTAAAATAAGAAGATCCTTGGGAGAGAGAATCAGCTTTGACTGAGAGACATGACTTTCTTCCAGCCACAGCAAAACACTTATAAACTTCCTACAACTTAGAAATTTTGGACTTCAAAAGGACTGCCAATAACTCCCATAATGATAATTCCCTGTAGCTTGTGAATGGAGACCTGCAGGCTAATGGTCATACATTTTGCTATAATAGAAGGCATTTCCTTTTAAATGTTCAGCATCATTCTACACTTGGAGAATTACTTGTTTCCACTTTTCCCTTTGTAAATAACTACCAAATATTTGAATATGAAGTCACAGCTTCCAGTCTAACTCTCATAACACAAATCCCTGCAAAAGTGCTTTCTTGTGGGTCAATCGCTCCATTATACCTACCTCTTTCTTGTCTGAACAGCCAGTTTCCCACTGTCCTGACCTCCTTGACTAATAATGGGCTTCTTGTCACTGAAATATTCTCCCCAAACTTTCCATGCTGAAATAAAACATTTGGATGAAACATTTATCAAAAAGATACCAAGTTTCCCAGGATCACGGTACATTCAGCATTCAAATCAGTCCACTCTTGGGTGCATTCTCCAATTAAATGCCATGCGATTATATTTCCTAACTACTTAGAAGACTTTTATGAAGATAAAGTCATTACTTTTAAGACTTCTAGAATTTAATACCATTGGTTCTGCATGTATGCAGAACCGATCATATAAGGTACTTATATTTTAATGAAGAATGACAAAAGTAGAAAATGAATAGAGCAGCTGACACAAACATATCTTTTTTCATCTCCTCAACACAATTTTGAGATTAAGTTAGAAACCATAGGGAGATGTTATTAACATATAATAAAAGATAATTTCAGGACACATGGTTCAGTTTGTTCTGAATACTTAATTTCAGAATTACATTCCCTGTTTCATACTGGTAAACCTTAAGGGAGTAACAGTGCATTTCATCTAATAACATGAATGCCTTATGGAAAATGGCAAAATTGCTTCACATTTTTTATTTAAAGAACTATTTAACTGAACTAATATTTTTCTTTAAAGAAATATTTAACTGAACTAAGAAACAATTCTAGCTAAAGGATTTTGAAACAAACCTTACCAGCCACCCTGTTCTTCAATATTTCATTGGAAATCTCCTGTTTTGCTTCTTAACAAAGGAATTTATGTAAATTTTCATAAAACCTTTAAAGAAGTCTATGGATATAGATTATGAATAGATAACAGTACACAAACATGAGATATAGAGAAATCTTAGTATTGAAACAGGCTTTCTAAATATATTGTGGTAAATTATGCATTGTGAATATTATGATAAAAATGCATTGGTTAATTTGTTATTGGTTTGAATTGAGTGCCCTGATTCAACCTCGTCTCTGAGAGGACTCACTGCCCAAACAATTAATATTCTTTATTACAGCTACAGTCCTCACTTGACTCATCATTTAGCCCACATCATGAACTTGATATGGGTTACTCCGAGGTCAATTATTTCATATCTTTGAATTATGTATAAAAATAATAATTTAAAAGCTTTATTCTGGGCAATATTTCTTTCAGGAAATGTATTCTAAACCTTTACATCATTTACAGTTCTTATTCAAGGGTTTTAAAAGATCTCATTTGTATCCAGTAAAATGATAGATTTTGTGAACTGTGAGAGTTCTGTTTAGAATCAGTAAATATCAATTCTTTTCTTTCTCTTTTGGAGATGTAGAGATTTGAATTCAGGGCCTATACTTGCTAGGCTTGTGCCTAGCTTCACAAGGCATCAGTCTCGTGACACCTACATCTGATGTCAATCCTTATGAACATAGACATATTCATTAAATGGGTGAAGTGCAAGGTCAGCCCAGATTAAGATGTAATCAGAGCTGTCTCTTACATAATGCGCACAACCTCAGTTGATATCAGAGTTACAGTTTACCAGTGCATACATTATTACACTATTAACAATTCAGTCTATGGGCTGGGAAGGTGGCTCAGTGGTAGAGCGCTTGCCTTCCAAGCAT